GTTCCTTGAGACACGCGATGCTGGCTTCCAGTGTTCAGACGACGGCACCGCCTGTCCCATGACACACAGCAGAGAGAGAGACAGAGAAAGAGAAACACGAGTGTGTGAGAGAGGAAGTGTTGACATTAACGCTGAGCTGTGGCCGTTGCTGAGCCGCGGCGGCCATATTACTCGAGTCATCCACGAATGGAAGTGCCCAGTACATGAGAGTGTGTTCAGAACATTTTCATAGTTCTGCCAGGTTCTCCAATGTTTAGCAAAGCTGACCAAAAAAATTTTGATTTTCGTAGTTGCGCATTTCCACCAGAGATATCTGAAGTGTGTTTTCTCAGAGCTAACGAAAACAACCATTTTTATGGCTGCTTATTTCTACCAGATATCTCCAACGTTCAGCAAAACGAAAAAACAGCAATATTCCTAGTCGCGCATTTCTGCCGAACGTCTGAAGCGTTCATCAAAGTTGACGGAAACGACAACTGTCATAGCATTAAGCCTAGCGCAGACTTGCGACTTTTTCATGCAACTCGGCTGCGATTCTAGAATTGCAGTCGAAATTGCTGTGAAATCGCCATGTCTGCGGGGAATGTGCAACTACAACTCGTAGCGATTCTGGTCGCTTGCAACGAGTTGCAGGAAATCAAACTGATTTGATTTTCAGCAACTCGTCGCTCCCAATCGCTCCGAAATCGCTTTGAAATCGCATGCGTGTGGGTAGACAGCAACTTGCATGCGCACACACGGTGAAGCGTGCGACCGATCGCATGCGATTGCAGGTTGCAGCGACGAGCAACCAAAAGTCTTTAATTTCATAATAACCATTACAAAATATGTTATATATTGCTCAAAGTTAAGCGAAAAGATCCCAACCCTGGCTGCAGTAAAGCCATATTTAAGATACATCATGGAAATTGAAAAATACATAGCAGCAACAAATAACAAACTCGACAGATTTCATGGAAAATGGGCATCAGTAATGCACAAACTTTAAATTGCTTATATTTGTAACAGTTTGTAGGTATTTAACATATACAAAAAGGCCTTGTTGCCTACATATATTGCCTATTTCTGTTGTTGCATGTTGCAGTAGATATCCCCTGCCAAAAATTATGGTTAAAAATAGTATAGCTCTGTATAGCTCTCGTCAAATACTAATCATTGTTCATATGTACCAAATTGTGTTTTTGGCCTATTGTTTGATATTATTGCTTTGGTGGATCTAGAAATAAAAAACATTATAAAAAAACAACCAAAAGTCGCAAGTCTGCGCAAGGCGTTACATGGGTCACGTGTAATCACAGTCTCACCTTGCGCATGTCCGACATTACGGTGGAACGACTGGGCGTGGTCTTCAGCTGCCCGCCGTGAGCCTGCGTCAACGCATCCTCGTGAAGCCACTGGAATCGCGTCAGCTGCATCTTCGCCGTCGCCATCGACGACTGCAGCAGCATCATGCTCGTTCCCAGCCTCCTGCGCGCAGAGACGGCGGCGGTTAGTGCAAGGACCGGTGAGGCCACAATTAAAAACATCTTTGTTTGCCCTCACCCGACCCATTCATCATCATCGTCATCATCGGCGTCATCGCCGTCGCCGCCGCATTGCTGCTCTGCGCAGCTGCTCGAATCTCGCTGCCGGCGGGACGACGGACGATCGCTGCCGGTCATTATCAGCTGCTGCTGCTGCTGCTGCTGCTGCTGCTGCTGCTTCGTGGAACCGGTCGCTCAGTCCATTCCACACGATTCACCACCGCTCACAGGACGGTCAACGGTGCTTTCTCTAGCAAGGGCGCGGGTACGCGCGCGGGCTGGGTCGGGGCGGGGTCACACCCACGGCGTCCAGCCCTCGTAGAGCAGCGCTAGATTCTCGATATTCGTCGCTTCCTTGATGACAAAGTCGACCTGTGGAAGGACGGAGTCAGCGTGAGTGGAGCGAGTCACGCGGAGATGCTTGCCTGCCCGCCACACTGACCCAGACCACTGACCACTGCACAACGTACTGTACGTTCGTTGTTGGTTAGGCTGTCGGGCTTTTTAGTGTCACGTTCAAATAAATTATTCGTAAATTGTTTTTGCTTATTGTAAATTATTATTACTGAATTATTTGTCGTTAATTATTTCATTTTGATTCATATTTGAAACAGCCGCAATAAATTTACACGGGAGCGATCCAGGGAAAAAATTCCTTTTTTTTCATGGGAGCTCTTTTTCAAAAGTCTGTGTCAAAAATGTTACGGGAGCTATTTTGAGTCTCACGGGAGCGATTTCGGAGGTTTGAAGAGCTAATCGCTCATCGCTCCCGTGTATTTTTTACCCTGGAGCGATCGCACGACAGCATGTCATGCACATATTGTTAAGGTCAACCCACGTAGGAGCATTCATCCCGTAAAATAGTCGAATCACGAGTAAAAAATCGATGGCACGCCCGTGAGCTGTACAAAGAACATCTCCCGTGCACATTTACACATTAAATTTGCTCCTCATATATCATCATCATGAACTCTCGTGACCTCTACCACGTCCCTCCAGTGACCTCCGACGATATTCATACACGACCTATCCACGAATATCTATCGTGACTTTTAGTAACCTCTATAGTCGTACGACGACCAACGACCACATCGCTACATCACCGACGCTCCACCATTGACACGTTGCCGGGCGCCCCCGTCGACATTTAGACGGGCGCCGCCGTCAACATTCAGACGGACACCGTCGTCAACATTTAGATGGACACCACCGTCGACACTTAGACGGGCGTCGTCGTCGACGTGACTTCGACGGACACCACCACCATCGACACTTAGAATGGCGCCGGCGCGCGTCGCCGTCGCGAGGCACGTACCTGCTCGGGCACGTTGAGGCGCCGCGCGGGATCCGGGTCACGCCCATCTAGCTTCATCTTGATGCGGCGCCACACGCCGATCGCGTACGAGTTGCGCTCCTGCAGGGCCTTGCCCGTGCGGGGGTCCCGCGCCACGCCCGCCCGCCGCGATGTCGCCGCCGCCGCCGCCGCTGCAATAAACGACAGTTAGCGGCGCCACCTGGTGAGCGACAGACGCTCGGAGACTCGAATCCGGCCACCGAATCGTTGGCCAAGAGAACTCGGTCGGCCGGAAAACAATCACATGAATACAAATAATGTGTATTACAGATTGAAACGTAATGTTTAATATTTCATGTACGTGATGACCAAATGTCTGTATTTCTATTATTTTTGTTATATTTCATTGTTTATATATATCAGGAGTAGATAATAGGAAGGAGTGTGACATCAATAAACAAGGGAAATTCGTCATTTACTAGCCTTATAATACCTACGATTTACTACGCGTAACTCATCCAACTTGAGCTCAAATCGGACACAGTACATTCGCCTGTTCCCAGCCTCCTGCGCGCAGAGACGGCGGCGGTTAGTGCAAGGACCGGTGAGGCCACAATTAAAAACATCTTTGTTTGCCCTCACCCGACCCACGCTGAAAAGTTTGGGTAGGTAGGTCGGCTTTTTCTTTGTTGAGGGCGGGGTCTTTTTACAAATTCAGCATGCTCGGGTGTGCTTGTGTGGAGATACCTTTTTTTGTTTTGCTTGGTACATATAATGTATTGCCTACAGATTTATATAAAGTACAGTGATACAATTTGTAAAAAAAAAGAATGGGAAAGACCAATAAAGGTTTTTTAAGTCGACCCCTTTTTGGAGGGTCGGTCGGGCGAGGGCAACAAACAATATTTTTAGTATGGCCTGAATAACTCTTGCTGTCCCTGGCATGCGCGTGCTTTCGCACCCTTCCCCTCCTTCATTCTTTCCCATTCTTTGTCCATCCCTCCTCGCTCCTTTCTTCTTTCCTCCCTCTCTCCCCTCTCCTTCCCATCGTTCTCTCCTCCCCTTCCCATCTTTCTCTCTCCTCCCTCCCTCATTTCTCTCCTTCCACCCTTCTCTCCTTCCTCTCTCCTCTCCTCCCACCCATCTCTCCTCCTTTCTCTCTCTCCTCTCCTCCCTCCCTCTCTCCTCACTCTTCCTCTCTCCTTCCTCTCTCCTCTCCTCCCTCCCTCTCTCCTCACTCCGTCCCCATACCTGACCAGGTCTTGCTTGCGCCACACAGTGTCGTGCGTGCTGGTGAGGGTGCTGGCCTGCGTGAGGTCGGTGTGCTGCACACGCCCCTCCCTCAGCCCCGCCTCGACGGCCTTCTTACACAGGTCCTCGATGGCGACCTTCGACTCGGCGCCGATGTCCTTCAGCTCTATCTCGGCGCTGACGTCGACCCCGAGCGCGTGCATGTAGACGCAGAGCAGGTGTCCGAGCACCTGCGATGGCAGCCCTATCACCTGTAATAGCAGGTGAGAATGCTCGTTAATGCATGTAGACGCAGAGCAGGTGTCCGAGCACCTGCGACGGCAGCCCTATCACCTGTAATAGCAGGTGAGAATGCTCGTTAATGCATGTAGACGCAGAGCAGGTGTCCGAGCACCTGCGACGGCAGCCCTATCACCTGTAATAGCAGGTGAGAATGCTCGTTAATGCATGTAGACGCAGAGCAGGTGTCCGAGCACCTGCGACGGCAGCCCTATCACCTGTAAT